TCGTTGAGTTCAACTGAGATAAAAGTGCCTACATGGGTGAAACGTCTACGATGTGACACGGTCAACAGTCGACTAAAAACCTAAAAAGTCTTCCCTCGATTCCCTTTCGGTTCTTTGTTCTAATGCGTCCTACGCACAGGGTTCTCATAATTTATCCCTCGGCCGGAAAGTGGGCATTTTTTTTTTTGTGTTGGCAATAGTTATTGGAGGTGGAACAGCCCCATTCGAGGTTGGACGTCACCCATATGCAACTTGGACGTAGACCCCTCTCAATACTGCTCCTGTCAGCTGTTGCCAACTCATCAGTAACTCTGAATATACTTGCTGTTAGCTTCTTGAAGTTTTAAGAAATTTTGTCAATGATTCAAAAATTAATAGGTGGAAAATTTTCAAAAAACCATCCGGAGAGGATTTGCGAATGAACAAATGTGCTAGTCGAAGTTTCAGAATCAGTCTTCTGAAACGAACCCAGCTTCCTAATCCAATCCCTATTTTTGAGATAATAAATCTGTCTTTTAATTTCAGACGAGAAGTCATTAACAATTAAACAGAAATGCGAAACACCAAGCTTCTGAGCGAATTTACGGATTTTCCTTCTTCTCTTAATAAGCGTGCTTAAATAGGTATCCTCGATTAGGAATTTATGCCTAGTGGTTGCTGTATTTACTCTGTAAGTCACGGTTTTAACAGAGTTGTGCATTAGTTTTGTAATATTCGAAATTTCTGAGTCTATCTCATCAGGATTACAAAATTTGGTTTTGACATTTAGCCTCTCCGTGTGAGAGTAGTAACTATTCTAGTCAACTTCACAGATAATGCCAGGACTAAAATCCTCATTTCCTACAGTAAGAACAACCGTAGTATGGTCGGAGGGGCCTTGATCCCTCGTCTCACATTTGAAAACGCGGTTTGAAGTAGAAAGAAAGTTGTCTATAGTAGAGGGTCTTTGCCTAGGTTGAAAACGAGTAAAATCTTCAGGGTATATGATATCGTAAGAGTTGTTGGAGCAATGATTGTATAATACTGTTCCACTCTGGTTTCCTACAAAATTATTCCAGGAGCGGTGCTTCGCATTAAAATCTCCCCCAATTAAGAAAGGAGAGCCAGCGCTACAAAGATTGGAAGGTACAGAGGTACCGAGTGTTTAACACGTGGGGAATGTTGTAAATATGACAAGGAATCGAAGGTCGGGTTTCTGTCAGGGATGCTAAAACGAATTTGGCCATCGAGTGGGGAAAATTCTCCCGAAGGTAAGTTGTGAGAGACGATTCAGTAGGTTTTGAGTCGTGCACCTCAACTCAATGACGGAGCCCGAAAAATCCAATAGAGTATTAGG